TGTAACAGCTTCTGCAATAAACGAGACTTGATCAGAAACCTGTCTTGTCTCCATCTCTCGTGTCCCCTGTCCCCTCTCATCCTCGCTCCCCCTCTAGGGTCTCCGTTGACTTACCCGCGGGCCGGGACACTGGAGATCGAACTTGGGACCTCTTTGCATTTGTGAAGTAGGCAGTGGAATCGCTGAGCTAAATCCCTGGCCCCAGTATGACAGTTTTTTAAAAAAGGAAAAGATGTGCAGGAAAGTGTTCAGAAGAGATTGTATTCTGATTTCTTTAGGGTATAGATGTAGAAACACGAAATAACACAAATTCAGCAACACTTTATTGATTTCTATTTTAAAATTTTAGTTTATTAATGATTTCTGGGATTTTGACTATGATGTGTCACGGAAAGTTTCTTTTCTCATTGTGGGTATTTGCGGCTTAGTTGTATGTTGCATTCTTTTATGTTACTTGGAAAGTTTTCAACGATTATATCAGTAAACAGATTTTTAAAAATATTCTGATTTTCCACTCATTCCAATTAGTTTTAGATTAGTTTTCTTTGCATCATGTAACAGCTATTGGATCCATCTTTCATGTTTTCTTGTTGTTTTTAAGACATCTCTCATTAACTAGTAACTGACAGCAGCCCTATCTTCTAGTTCTTACACTCTGTCCTCACATTAGTCACTTCTGTTGCCCACACTTTCAACAGAATTTTTAATCTTTTGAATTTCTCTTTGGCACCCTTTTATGGACTCTCATTCTTTTTCTATACTAGTCATACATATTTTGCATCATTTTGTTTACTTTTCTATCTTTTTATTAGTTTCTTTAGATTCACTGATAATTTTAATTGGTCCAATATTTTAGTACTTATATCTTTTCTGAGCTTGCCAAAAGCCTTGTTAAATTGTTTTGTTATCTGCCCTGATACTTTTCAATAATTCACAAGCATGATGCTTTTGGTTTTCTCCCATTTGATGCCTCATGCTTTGGGGTAGTTAGAAGTTTTTGGAAGGATTTTCTTGGCTTGTTTTCTCATGTTTCTATTTGTGTGTGTGTTTTGTGGTGAGGTTTGTGGGTGTATTGTATAAAGCTTAGCTTTTACTATGGGGATGGGTTTAGTTAGTCTACTTTTCAGTGGAGTCCTCTGGGTGTGGCTACCTACTGACATTGCCTCTATTCCAGGATCCAAACTCCGTTATTTATTTGAAATGGAAGGTCATGATGCATATGGCCCACTACCTAGTTCTCTTGGACTAGAATACAGTGCTGTTAGTGACTCCAAGGCAATCTAGATATTGTCATCAATTTGTGTAGATATGGTGCTAACCAAAAAAGGAATACATGCTAACAGCTAAACTTCAGCCTCAGTTAACATTTTATGACACATGTCCTTAGTAGCAAGCAAGATCAACTCTTCACCAATAGTAAAGGGCCTTTTAGAATTAGCAATATTTTTCGTTGAATTTCACGGAAGAGACTGAGGACTATTAGTGTTATAACCTCCCTGAAGGTCTTGTAGAATTTAGTGATGAATCATGTCCTGGGCTTCTTTGTAGTTGGTAGGTTTTTGTTGTATTTATTATTGTCTGAATTTCCACTGCTTGTTATTAGATTGTTAAGATTTTTTTTTGTTTTCTTCATTTCTGGTAATTCATGTGGTTAGAATAATGTTCCTATACAAAAAAATTTGATGAAGTGGTGGTTCAAAAATTGCTTCTCCTCCTCATGTTCACCTTTTTACTTTCTTCTCCTCAAAGGCCATTTCAATAACATGAGGAATCTAGTTGTTCACAGCTAAAGAGCTTCTCTCTAGTGTTCTGGCACACAACTCAAATTGAACTGGATGAACTGATGGCCTTACAATGTTATTTTCACAGGTGAGGCCATTAAAGACCATATGAGTAAATGAAGATTTCACCACCTTGTCTATATTCATAGTTTCTTTAAAAATTATTTTATTAGCTTATATTGACAATACATAATGATTGCATTTATTATGCAGAGTCAGTACATGTATACAACACATCTTTTTTATTTTTATTTATATATATATTTATTGATACATTTTAGGTATAAAATATATTTACATTTATCATTGGGTGTCTGTACCAGAACATGATGTATCTTAGTTCTTATTTTTTC